GGAACCACCAATACATATTCTTTCAGGCACAACCAACAAAAAATTGTATTGTTACCCTCACCAGTGGCTAACAGAGAAGACCCTTCACCGTCCAAGATAAGTAATCAAAACTTATTTATGCAAGGTTTGAAAGCAGCACAACAGGGACTAATTTTGATTTTGGTTGAGGAGAACCTCCAATTTCATTATGTACCTGCATTGATCCATCCACTATTGCAGCAATATGAGGATGTTTTAGTTTAGGAAATGCCAGCATGTTTGCCCCCACTACGTGATGTTCAACATCAAAAGGAACTCGTGCCAGATTCGGTCTTGCCAAACCGTCCAGCATATCGCCTCCGACCCGACGAGCATTTGGAGTTACAACATCATGTGGATGAACTGCTTATTAAGGGGTTTGTACGTCCAAGTGCTAGCCCCTGTGCAGTCCCTACACTATTGGTCCCTAAGAAGGATAGACCTTTTCGCAAGTGTATAGACAGTCAAACAATCAACAAAATAATCATCAAATGTTGATTTCCTAGACCCCGTATAGATGACATCTTCGACCAGCTTCATGGGGCGTGTGTGTTCTCCAAAATTGATTTAAGTTGCGGATATCACCAAATACGTGTACGACCCGGTGATGAATGGAAGACCACATTTAAAATGCGAGAAGGCTCATACGAATGTACCGTAATGAATTTTGGCGTGTCCAATGCACCCAACACATTCATGGGGCTTATGAATCAGATATTCCAACAACTCATGAACAAATGCATGGTCATTTATTTTGACGACATTTTGGTATATAGCCCTTCCATGGACAATCACATCAGCCACCTGAAAAACATCTTTAATATCCTCCGAGAATAGCAACTGTTTGCAAATCCAAAAAAATGTCATTACCTCATGAAAAAAATTTCATTCATGGGTTTTGTCATCTCTGCCGAAGGAATTGAGGCCGACCTGAGCAAAGTTGAAGCTATCCAGCAATGGCCAACGCCACAATCAACAATGGAAGTGCGACAATTCCATGGTCTTGCCCCCTTCTACCACCAGTTTATCAAGAACTTTAGAACGCTGGCCTCACCCTTGAACAAACTTTTAAAAAATGACAAGTTCCAATGGACTCCATCGATGAAGGGTTTGAACGGCTGAAGGAAGCTGTCTCAACTGCACCCGTGTTGGCCCTACCTGATTTTAACAATGCATTTGAATTAGACTGTGATGCATCAAATGTGGGAATTAGAGCTGTTCTTAGCCAACGAGATCATCCGATCACCTTTTTTAGTGAAAAACTTAATGATGTCCGACAAAAGTACTCCATTTATGACAAAGAATTATATACTATTGTCAGGGCCCTTCATCACCGGGGTCACTATTTGCTGCCTCACGAATTTATTTTATTCTCCGATCATAAAGCCTTGTGTTTTCTTAATAGCCAAAAAAAACTAAGGGGGCGATACGCTGCTTGGGTTCAATACTTTGGTGCATTCCATTATGTCCTGAAACATAAATCAGGTAAATGTAATCAAGTGGCGAACGCCCTCAGTCAGCGGGTGGCATTAGTCCAGGCTCTACAAACTAAAGTTACCAGATTTGATTTGCTTATAGAATTGTACCCCAAGGACTCAGATTTTGGAGAAATATGGAACAAATGCCAAGAGAGACCCTATCAACTATACCACTGCCAGAAAGGGCATCTTTTCTTCGGTAACCAATTGTGCATTCCGTAGGGCTCCACTCGCATGGCAATCATCAGTGAATGTCATGAATCTAGCATTGTAGGCCACTTCGGAAGAGATAAAACTCTTTCTTTAGTTAAAGAGCATTTCTTCTTGTTGCTACTTGTTCGAGATGTTGTCCGATTTATACGACGGTGTCGAGTTTGTGTTTTGGCAAAAACACATAGTCAGAAATTGAGGTTATATACCCCCTTACCCGTCCTTGAAGGTTCGTGGATTGAGGTTAGTCTAGACTTTGTGTTAGGCTTACCTCGAACTCAGAGAAACAAGGATTCCATAATGGTTGTAGTGGATCATTTTTCGAAAATGGCCCACTTTGTGGCTTGCAACAAGACCTTGGACGCCACTCATGTCCGATTTGTACTTCAAGGAGATTGTGCGCCTGCATGGGATCCCTAAAACCATCATGTCAGACCGTGACGTCAAGTTTCTGAGTCATTTTTGGAGAACGCTATGGGCCAAATTAGGAACCAAACTCAATTTTAGCTCGACAGCCCACTCTCAAACAGATGGCTAAATGGAGACGGTCAATAAGAGTCTTGGTAATCTCCTTCGTTGCTTTATGGGGAATAATTTAAAACAGTGGGACCTTATACTACCATAAATTGAGTTTGCTTTCAATAGGTTTGTCAATCAAGCAACAGGACATAGTCCATTTCAAGTAGTTTATGGTAGCTGTTTGAATAGTTGCTATTTGAATGAGTTATATCTATGCAACTTATGTAGTTTTGATGATTCCAAACATTATTGTTCAAATGTATAGTTATCTCCTAACAATTTCAGAAGATTTGCACTTGCCTGGACTCAACAGTAGCAACCCGTTATCTCCTCTGGACTTGATTCCACAGTTATCTACCCATAACTATAGCACTGACGGAAGCCAACACAGCAAGGAAATTCAACGGCTACGTAAAGACGTGCAGGAAATGATCCATAAGCATAACCTCAAATGCCAAAAGGTCGCCAATAAATTGCGTTGAGCAGTACAGTTCAAAGAGGGAGACAAAGTATGGATCCGTCTACGTAAGGAGAGGTTTCCTTCAGGTGTGTTTAGCAAATTAAAACCCAAAGCTGATGGACCATTTCGGATTGTCAAAAAAATCAGCGACAACGCATATCCAATTGATCTCCCCGGTGACTATAATGTGTCTGCCAACTTCAACGTGGCTGACTTGTCACCTTATTACCAACCTAAAGTTCTTCCTACCCCGGCAGACTAACACGGGAGCTAACCATTTTCTACCCTGCGCCTTTTACCAAGCAACAACTATCTGAATACAACATCAGTTTTTGTAATTCTTGTTTTCTTTGATCTTGCTAAATATAGCCAACTATGTGGCTGATAAATGTGTATAAATAAGAGTGCTCGGTGCTAATAAAGCAGATTGATTGGTTTCGTAAAATTTCCTCTTTCCTGTGAGATGTGTCTGTATCTTGACTACGTCAGGTGGTGGTTAGCTTAGATTATGTATCATGAATTAGTTCATGTGGTGGTTCTTGTAGTCTGTTGGGAAGCTGGAGCGGTGACCATCGTCGGTGTCACCGTGGAGTCTTGTCCACGGCTTGAAGAATACTCATCTTACTGCGACCTGTCCAAAGGGTCCGGAGTCAAAAGGTCTAACCCATTTTTCATGTGGGAAGATGGGGTTTATTTATATATTTTTAGAGTGGTCTACCACATAAATATGGAGAAAATTTGGGGCGAATTCAGAATGTTACATCGGATGACACATTCTAATTCCTTTGATTATGTAGTGTATCTCAAGCTTTTAAGTATCTTAATGATGTCAGAATTAAGTAGTTTTGGGCTCGTTGGAATCGTCTCGCCGAGCCACTCGATTCGATTATAAGCATGCTTGAATAACATTTAAGGGCTATTTAGTTTGTTGCATTTATGGTGCAAGGTAATCTAATACAAGGGTTTTAAAATTTTTGGTGTTTGGTTTGAAGTAAATGCAGCGTGTAGAAATAGTGCATTCCAAATATATAGGTAGTGCATTTTGAGTATATCTGGAATTCCTTAGATATGGGCGATTCCAAATAAACTGCAAATGCACCGTCATTATCATCGTTGTCGGCCACCACTATATGAAATGTAAAATATTGATCAAACTATCGCAAATAGACCCTTACTCTTTGCCATCCCTTATTTTCTTAGACCTAATTTGAGAACAAACAACCTCTAAAACTTTTATAATATTAATTCTTCTACGCCACTTCGAATCCTTCTATCCTAAGCTGTATTAGTCATCCTTGCATCCTAATTTATCAACTCTGTAAGTCATTCATAACCCATTTAAGTTTTTCACATCACTTTAAAAACGTACATTTAAAATATCATACCCTCTACATCAATATAATTTTTATAAAAAAATACTAAAATCTTATTTTGCAATATTTCACATCACTTCAAAAACCTATATTTAAAATCTAATATTCTCCACATCAATATAAGTTTCTCAAACAAATTATTAATCATTGATACTCAAATTTCTTAAAATTTTTGTACTAAATTTTTGCTTTAAAAAACAATAAAAAAAGTCATCCCAAACGAAGCCTTAAAGTTTGTTTCGGACGGCTTTCTTACTACTTTATAAAACAATTTTTTAAGTTATAAATTTTTCTACTATAAAGTTATAAGAAAATGGTCTCAAATGACACGTTATGCTTATATTAAAATTTAATGAATATTATTTATTGAAGATATTTTGTAATAAGAAATCATTTATAATTAATAACTTAGTATTTTTTATAAATATTATTTATTGAGAGTATTTAAATTTAAAATTTAGCTTATAATAAACAAATAAATGAGTTACTTAAGTTCAACATTAAAATAATTATTAAACAATTACTTATCTGAAATTTAATAAAAGCACATAGATAATGTTTGTTTAAAATATTTTAATAAAACGTAATTTATATTATATAAATTAGAGTTCTGTAAAATTCAAAGAAACATAAATGCTACAAGAGAGAAGGAAAATAATTCAAAATCCTACGAAATAAAACAATAAAAAATTTATTAACTAATAAAGAACAGAAATTTTTTCAATAAATAAATTAGTTTATTTAAAAGCATCACAAAAAATTAAAAATAACTATTTTAAAAAAGATAAATCTTTTGCGGTGAGCGTGGATCGAACACGCGACCTTCAGATCTTCAGTCTGACGCTCTCCCAACTGAGCTATCCCCGCGGTTTTTTAATTTAAGTAAACTGTCTTTTTAAATATATAATAGTATTGCCATCTTATATTCCCCCTCCCCAAGTATTACACGATCTTTTAGGCCGGCGATCATGGAGATGGACAACGGCTGCTCCATCTCCACTCTTTCCCTCACCACCCAACCAAACCCTAACCCTAATTTCTCACAGCACCGAAAGACTATTCCAAAGCGTTTTGTGAAGAATCAAATTCCTGAATCGATCCTCTCCAATCCAGCCCTAAACGCCGCAATCTCCCTCCTTCCGTCCAACTATAACTTCGAGATCCACAAAACCCTGCACCGCATCTCCTCTTCCAACGTCGGCCGCATCGCTCTCCAGCTCCCCGACGGCCTCCTCATGTACTCCCTTCCCCTCGCGGACATCCTTCGCTCCTTCTCTTCGACCACCGACGTCATCATCCTCGCCGAACCCACCTACGGCGCCTGCTGCCTCGATGACTACGCCGCCTCCGCTCTCTCCGCAGACCTTCTCGTGCATTACGGTCACTCCTGCCTCGTTCCCGTCACCTCCTCCCGTCTCCCAGTCCTCTACGTCTTCGTTGACATCCGTATTGATGTCCCCCGCTTAGCTTCCTCTGTAAAATCCTCTTTAGCTTCTCCACAACGCCTCGCTCTTGCTGGCACAGTGCAGTTCGTCGCCGCTATCCACGCGGCTAAACCGCTTCTCGAGGCCGAGGGATACAACGTCTTCGTTCCGCAGACGAAGCCTTTGTCCCCTGGCGAGGTACTTGGTTGCACCGCGCCGACCATACCGAAGAGCTATGGAATCGACAGTGTCGTGTTCGTTGCTGACGGAAGGTTCCACCTTGAGGCTTTCATGATTGCGAATCCGGGAATTCCAGCTTACCGATATGATCCCTACATTGGCGTGCTCGTTTTGGAGGAGTATGATCACGGGGGGATGAAGAAAGCCAGGAAAGACTCCATCCATGCGGCCAGGGAGGCCAGGAACTGGGGAATTGTTCTTGGGACTCTCGGTAGGCAGGGAAACACGAATGTTTTGAACCGGGTTGTAGAGAAAATGGAAGAGAAGGAGTTGGACTACACGGTGGTTTTGATGTCAGAGATATCACCTGCACGTATAGAGCTTTTTGGGGATAGTGTGGATGCTTGGGTGCAGATTGCATGTCCTCGGCTATCAATTGATTGGGGCGAGGGATTTTCAAAGCCTCTGCTTACCACATTTGAGTTGGAGATTGCTTTGGGTTATGTCCCTGGATGGTGGGAGAAGGAAAGAAGAGCAGGAGCAAGGAATACACTAGGCTATCAACAAGGCTGTAGAAAGAAACAAAGTTGCTCTGGCCCAGGTTGCTCCCAGAGCAGTGATTCTTGTTGTGGTTCTGATGATGAAGGGATAGATTATCCCATGGATTATTATGCGCAGGATGGAGGAGACTGGAATAGCTCTTATGCCGAGAGGAAAACTATTTCTAGTGAGGCTAAGCACCGCAATTGAGCAGGTAACCAATCTTTGATAACAATGCCCTATGGCAGTATTAAATCCTTAAAAGAACACTTGTCATTCTATACATTTTAATCTTATCATCTAATAATCAAAACTGCAACCAAAACCAATTCTGAAGTAGCGTGGCTTGAGTTATTGCTCATCGCTTTGTCAATCTGATTAGATGCTCAACTTAATCATATTTACAATAGTTTTAATATTGCAATGTAACTAAATCATTCCATGTCCTCTGAAGATTTTGCAAACCATCTCTTACGCAAAATAGTGAGAAGGCAGGCTTGAAGCAATATAAGACAATTCATTGCTTTTAAGCAAACCCATCACTTCATCAATGGAAAATACTAAACGCCTGACCGTTCTCTCCAATATTTTTGCTTGTCCAATTGTGAGAAACTTATATTTGGGAACTATTATTATTTCAACATTTGTAGAGGTTTAATTGACAATGAACACCGTATCATACTGTTTAGGCTATTCAAAGCAAATGTGATCTTTTATTGACATTTTTTCCCATCAAGCGGATATTCTGTCTCATATGACACTATATAAAATTAATGACATAACTCCAAACAAAGAAAATACAAACAACTAATCTATTATTTATGTGCAATGAGCAGAAATTAGCATGCTCAGTTCAAATCACTGATCTGAATAAGCTTATTGTTTTCTTTTATTGTAGGTAGTTAAAAAATTAATCAACAACACCACGAACTTACCAACAAAGCTTATGATAGGAAATACTTGTAGAAACACAAGGGAATTGGTGGCTGAAATTGAATTTCAGCCAAGATGAAAACAGCATTTGAAAAGAAAAAAATGGATAAAAAGTAGTAGAACTCTTGATTAATTGATGAACAATGGAAAGAAACAAACAATATACAGGAGATCTTCAATTCGAGAGGAAGATCCGACTCTCCCAATCCTTAGCCGGTGGCTAGAGCCCAAATCACCAAACAGAAATACAAAAATCAGCCAAAATACCATATGCCCTAGCCCTAGGAAATTTTCCCTCTTAAGGCATTCAATCCAAAAGGAAATCCCTAAACAATCATTGCTTTCAAATTTCTCTCCTAAACCCTGTTAATTTCTTCCTAATCCACGACTATTGGACCCCACAGCATGGACCCATTACTAGGAGCCAAACGAAGGTCTAGGAGAATTTTATATATTTTCTTTTCTCAAAATGTTTTCATTGTAATTGTATTGTAATTGTGTTGTATTTCTATAGAGTGCACTAGAGTGCACTGAAGTCTTCATTTGTGAGTGGAATTGAGTGTATTGGCTAACCTAGTAAGTGTGGAGTATCACATGTTGACTTATTCAATATGGATTGGACGGTTAAGTGAATGGAGGGAGCAGTTGTGGTGGTTACTCCAGTGGGTGGTTCACCCCTCTTCTCTCTCAAACTCCCCATTTTGAATTTCCTTCATTTGTGCATATTTAAGGTTTTATTTGTCAATGAAAAATGGTTGTTTTTGTGTGATGAAATTTTGGAATTGAAGGAGAAGGTTTGGTGACTTGATCCAAGGAAGAAAGGTTTGAAGAATCAAATATCAAATAATAATTTTTTGTGAATCAAATAAAAATGATATTAATTTTAATAACAAGAAATAAATCTTGAATTCTTAATTGAAGTTTAATCTCTCATTCAAGTGGATATAGCAAACCACCTACCTTGTATTTTCTTTTAATAACATTATATGGTCCATATGCTTATATGATTTTTCCAATGATAGTATTTATTAGCAAATACTTCAAGATATCACATTTGCAAGATGAAAATGATCTCCTCAACCAATGCCACATGTTGTTATCCTATACCTACAAATACTCTACCATCATTGCCACTTATCTAACTCTTTCGGCAAGAGTTTTTTGGAGTTCAAAGGAAATGATGTTGCACATATGAGTAGTTGTATCACTAGATTGGGCAAACGAATAAGAAACTCAAGCCATAAAGAGCAAGAGCAGATGAAGAATTAGTCTATCCATTTAATATAATATGCTATATAATTTCATGTATTTTGTGTTGTAAGTGTTATGTGGACTTTATGTTGATATATTTTTATTTGTTAGTGCTTAGTAGGTTAAGTCCAAGTCATGGAAAAGGATGTAAGGGCTGGCCATGCTACTATGCATGATAGAAGGAGGTGGTTTTAGGTAATTGCAAGTGGGCCCAAGCAAGATGCCAGCCCCTACATCCTTTCCTTTTCTCTCTTTATTTCTAATTTAAATGATGGGATATATATCTCTACATGAGTTTTACAATTGTATGAAAACATTCTAAGATTGAGTTCAATTATTAATTAACAATTATAGAGCTTGTGACCTACCTCCAAATTTTATCCAACTTCAATATAATTCCTTTATAAAAATTGATCTTAACTCTTTTACTTTAATTATAAAAGAACCCCTCATCTACCATGATCTAAGGCCCACCATCCAACCCCCCACCATCATCTATGCTCCCAACTGTAAACATACCCAAATCTGTTAAGCAGTGAAAAATAGAAAATTAAGTACGTCTCTTAGCTGCCCTATCAGGTATTTTTCTCTCTTTATAGCTTTTTGAATCTCGTTACATGAGTTCAGTAGCCAACTGACAATTATAATCAGTTACAACTGATTTCAACAAACAAACTAATAAATTGAATCCAACATATTCAGTTATTATTATTATAGTTTACATACCAATCAGTTACAAGTAGCTTCTGCTTGTTGTGAAATCTGCCATCCACGTGAGCTTGTGTTTAAATTTTGCCTCACTAATATTTGGCATTCATGGAGGAATCATGACACTAGAGTTAGCACAAAATTCAAACTGAACAAGAATTATGGGGAATAAGTTTTTATTTTATTAACAGATTTAAACTCTTGACCTTTGTTAGATGCGAAACACTTTAATTGGCACAAAACTGTAGTATTGTGATATGCCTCTTTTCTTAAAATTTTCAATTTACATTTGAATAACACTCTTTATTGCATATCGTGGTCTAAGAGCAGAGGATCTTTGAATGCGACTTCAGTGATATGCTGGCCAGCCTTTTTTTCTCCAGGGATTGTACTGCACCACATCATTGACTCGTTTAGTAAAATTTTACTTGCCGCCATAGAAAACAAGTATGCAGCGTTAGAATAAGTTTTGAAATTGCTATCTAAAATAGCTTTTTCGTAGGAACTTCTTATCCTTTTTTAGAGAAGCCTATCAATGAAAATATTGTTAAGCAGTTGATTAATTTATACCGTATTAGTTTTTTGCTAAGCAACAGTTACGATCCTCAGACCACTTTTTTTTTTTTCTTGAGCTACATATTTATCTGAGGTTGTATATATTAATATGCACTGTGCTTCGTCAACATCTATGTACATTTTGTACACTAGTATAAGCTTGATTCCGATGAGTTTATTCTGTTATATTATATTATTTGTTTGGCAGGACAAAGAGTTGCAGATGGTGAACCAAGCTTCCAGTTTGTCGCTTGATATCTTCGTTAGTAATGAGTAAAGTTCAGGAGGTGGTGTGAACTTCATAGAAGAACAAGAGAAAGAATGGATTTACTGACCTTTGCAGCAGTCTCCTGGCTTCAGGATTGGGTTTAGGGTTTAAGCACAGTAATGTTATTTTTTAGCTATAATTTATATACTTTTCTATACTTCTGATGTCTTCAATATTTTCATTGAATTATAGTGATTTGTAAGTGACATTTAATAAATTTGTCCTAATTTTTTTTTTTTTTTTTGCCCTTTCTGGCTTCTATTGTTTGATCAATTCAAAATCAATGAGCCATCTGAGGCTGTTGAACGAATTAAATCCTTTAAATATTTTCAATGCAATTTGATGGCTCAATATGTGATAAATAAGCCGTATAACTTAAAAAAAAAATTAAAAAAAAATAAGACGTATAACTTTCTAACAGGTTATGTACATGCATACCATCTATATCATGTTAGATGATCGCATCAATGGCACTTAGCTTAAATATGGAGTTTGATTTTCTAATTTTTAATTGGATATGACACCATTGGTGAGAATCTAAATCTGTTTATTGAGATTCTTGAGAATATGATTATTAGTGTCTAGGTGTTTCTTTGATTTAACAATGCATTTATTTTTTAGCACTTACAAACTTTTAATGCCTCTGTTATGACCTTATCCATTTAGTTACAAGTTTGGGAGAAATTATTAGGTTCCTCTTCGGACCTAGAAATACATCCAAACATCTACTTAAAATTTGACACGTTGAGTGCATTTTGGTTGCATTTTTTGTGCGCATTACTTGTATTTTACCTGCGATTTAGTTGCGCTTTAACAGTTCTTTTGTTGCATTTTTTTAATGCATTTTGACCTGTTTTTCATGCGCTTTACCCGCATTTTTGATGTGCTCGGCTTAAAGTTCCGTGAACATATTAAATATATAAAGTAAAAAATAAATCCAATTGAATATCCACGTGTCCATTCCACATGTCAACATTTTATTGAAGTTTGGACGTATCTCTACGTCCGGACTCCGCACCTAATAATTTCACCAAATTTGGAGGGCCTAAGTGTTGCTCAACCTAGCACCTTACTGTAGGCGTTTAATTCCATGAATTTAAATTTAATGGCTTTCTATCACTACAAACATAACAAAAGTTTAAACTTATTCTTATATAATAAAAACATCTGCATTAGACTTGGATTTTCTCCCAATAATGTTTATCGCTACTAATATATGAAGAATATGATTAGATAAATACATACGTTCACACAAGTAATCACATCACTACTCAATATGCTAATGCACAATAGCCTTCTTTAATAAAGTGATTCAATATCAAATTTAAAAACAAAAGGCAATGCAAAATATATATTTCAGTACATCATTACAAAGTAGTATTTAGAAATTTAGGGGTGTCAATATTTGACATGACACGAAAACCCGACCCGTACCCGACCCGAAAAATCCGGGTTGGACCCGATCCGGTTTCAAAATGGGTCGGGTTCGGGTTCCAGAAATCGACCCGTCTGAAAAACGGGTCGGGTTCGGGTTGACCCAACGGGTTGCCAGGTCAACCCGCCAACCCGCGACCGAGCTGGTCGCGACCCCGCTGTCGCCAACTCGCGCTAGTAGGCTCGACGCCGCGACCGCGCGCGACTGGCGACCCCAACGCGCTCCCCGCTGTCGCGACTCTCGATCCCGCGCGACCGGCGACCTCACTGTCGCGACCCCGCGCCAATAGGCGCGACCCGCTCGACCCCTCGTTGTCGCGACCCGTGCAACAGTTCCCAGGTCAAGTCGGGTCAGGTTAGGGTCGACCCGTTTGAACCCGGGTCAGTTCCGAGTCCGATCCGAACCCGACCCATGACCCGAAATTGACACCCCTATTAGAAATAGTATCTGGGATTTTACATTTCAATTTAAAAAAAAAAACCTCCTAGTAAAGCTAAAAAAACTCTCTAGTATTGATAGATTCACCATGTGCTTGACTTTAGTCACTTTTTATCCTTAGTACTAATGAACATAAATGCAAACTTGAAAAAAGAACAAGGCAATTGAAGCGAGAATGTTATGGGTTACTTTTGGTTCAAAATAAATTCAAGCTTCTAGCAATTATATACCAACTTTAAAAATAAGCTTAGAGTAAATGAATGAAGCTGCTTAAGCAAAATACAACTTACAAACCATTTTCTTATGACCTTTTGTAGTAATAATAATGATTATAAAATTAAAAATTTTTGATGCCATAATACCTCCTCATCTTGCAAGTGTGGTTGTTGTAATAACCCAATCAAAGCAGAGAAGTCTAAAATAAATATAAATAAAAGTTATAAGGTCGTAAGAGGAATTGCATAATCACTATTATTTAATAAATGAGCTTTTTTCCTACCTCTTTACAACTCTAGTAATAGGTAAAGAAATATCCACCTCTTCATCTTCATCTTCTTCTTATAAAATGAAGGGCTATCTTGCATTCATATGTTGATGTTTGATATTGAAATAATTGAGTTCAATGTGAAAAAAAAAAAAAAAATAATTATAATATATTTACCTTGACTAAATGGTTGAGCCAGGATAGTTTTTTTTGTGGGAGTACAATTTCAATTTTAAAAATATGCTCAACCTTTTACAATCAGACTTGATATTGGTGATTTTAAACTTTTTTTTGTTGGAGTTGTTATTAAACTAAGATAAACTATATAATAAGTGAAGCTTATAATTGAATAAGATTTTAATGCTATATATAATCATTTAGATGATAATTGATTTTTTTTTCTTAATCTAAAGTAAGTAGGGATATAATCATCAGGAGAATCAAGTCAAGCTTCTTAGAAGTCCTTGCATCGAAGACCTTAAATTCGTAATGTGTGATATAAGATGGCTCTTCTTGGTCATCAACTCATTTAAAGTAAATTCAATTATTAATGCACCTATAAAATTGCTTTCCACTATTAGGTCCTTGGTGGCAAGTATACAAGACACATTTGAGATAATAATGACAATAAACTTGAGAATATTGCCGCCTGACTTTTACAATGGATGAATTTGAAGAATTCATTAAAAACTATAGAAAAACTGTTAAAACAACACAACATTAGGTTTTAGCAATGCAACATAACTCACCTTTTAAGTAAAATTACAAAATAATACTAAGGTAAAATACCCTATAACTCCTATGGATAATAAGAACGTAAAATATATGAAACTAAGAGAATGAGCATTCATGTAACTCAAAGCACACAACGACACTCAAGAACTGCTCTAATCGCGTTTAAATAAATTTAAAAAACCATTTCCAACTGAAAGCGATTAGGGAGAAACATGTAAAGAAAACTCATAGTGATTAACCTCATGTATACTCTTAACAAAGAAAACAAGAACCAACATCCAAAGCCAACGAATATAGTTACCAGCCATAGCTTAAAGACCAAGATCTAAGCTCAACTCAAGCAAAAAAATTCTTTTGGTTCACGCAACTAAGAGCATGCAACATAACTCACCTTCCTCCTGTCACGCGAGCTCTGATTTGCAGTCCATATGTGAGTTGTAGAACTCACCTTCCTCCCGTCTCACAACATCTGCAGATGCTTGCCAAAAAAAGGGGAGAAACATCGTATGTGAGAGACGGAATGATAGAAATGATGCAAATTAAGAATTTGGGTGGTATAAATATAATATTAATAGTTGAAGTATTAGATATATAAAATAATAATATAGTAATATGTATGTAAAATTTTCTTAATTATATTATTCAAACTGATGAGATCTTAAAAGATCCATTCTCACAACTATTTCTGAATGAATTTTTCCATAAGTAACAGCCCAACTAAATTACAATAGCTTATTGGGCCCATGTTTATCCGAAACTGCAATGCGCCTTTCTTCCCTGTCCGTCCACAGCTTCGCCGTAACGTCTCCAATGGCCTCGCTCATCCTCTCCCCCTCTCTTCCTACTTCTTGTTCCCCTGCCATCCCCACCATTACCCCAAGTCCTCGGCGCGCCCCCTCTTCCTTCCTTTTCATATCCTCTGGCCGCCACGCGGTCGCCGGCGCTCGGTTACTCGCCACCACCTTCGCCCTTGTCGAGTCGAATACATCAAGTTCTCGCGATGAAGAGGAACCCATACTTCCTCTTCTCCAAGAACTCTCTGTAAGATCATTATCTAATCCACTACCTATTCTATTGTTGTTTGAGGTTCGACACTCTTGCTCGGGAGTGGGGTAACGGTTTTATTCTGTCAGGATTGCCTCTATCTTCCTCTAGATTTCCTCTCGAAGCTACCTGGTGATCTCCGGCTCGATGTAAGGTCATTCGCCTTCAGAGCCCCCTGTATGTTAGAATTCGCAATTTCCAATTTCTGATGGGCTCTTTTGCTTCCCTTTCTTTTGCCATTCTCGCTGAAGCTAAATGATGCGGCGTTTGATCTCGCTAATGGCCCCGTCTTGGATGAGGTTGGTTAGTCTATGCTCACATTTGCTTTTGCATATTGCCGTGGTTCTATGGTTAGGGTTAAAACTTGAGTCTATTGTTTGCTCTGATTTTCTGTAGGGCAAATTTTCAGTCTAAGCATCATTAGGAAGTTAATTAAGAAGATAAGCATAATTAAAAAAAATTTAAAAGTAGGCATAATCGCCATTTGATTCGGCGACTTAGGCTGATTTGGCAAAGCTGAGGCAAGTAGCCGTTATGATGTATGTCGCTATAAAAATCGCCCGTAGTCTGGGCTACTTGTAAGTCGCCCATTTAATGGGCGGCTTAGGTAATTATTTTTTTAAAAAATATTTTATATCTCATATTAAATGTTGCATTGGATGTACAATATATATATATATATATATATCATTAACTTATATCTAAGATTTTATTTATGAAGAATTCTATAATTTTTTGGTAAATAATGTCCTATATAAGGATTTTTTTGTTAAAAAAATTTCATTAAGAGCATAGGATCCTTATAATGCCATATTTTTTGTGCAATGACAAGTCATTTCACTAGCAGTACTCTATCCCATCAGATGACTTGTCAAATTTAATTGTTTTGTAGGACTGCATGTGATGGTTGAATCTCATAACTCTGTCCTATTTAAAGAGTGCAAAGAAGATGAATGAAATATAGATGTAGAGAAAGTTGACCTATTCAAAATGTTTTGGCCTATTATGGAGAAGCTGAATGGCGTGCCCAACAAAGAAAGATTTGATGATGCAAGTTGAAGAATGTATGATTGCATAGCACGAGCCGATGATAGTCCGTTGGAGCAACAAGCAAAGGCGAATGAGATCTTTCGGTGTTGCGTTCATGAATGGTCAAAAGATGAGGATGATTGCCTCTGGGACATGCATTCAGAGTTAATTAAAGTAAAACTCTTTAGGACGAGATTTCTTAAATGCTGCCGGTTAGAAATCTCTTCAAATTAGGTTCCAAGAAGAGAATTGTCATTTTGTCAGCCCTCATCTTTTATAGATGCGGTACCATGAGATGAAACGCCATAGAGATGGCGGTCATTCCCCTCCAGATATTGACTGCAGTGAACTTGACATTGAGCATGTCATTCTATATTCTAGTTTGTGTTCGAGATATGATAAGTATATTGTAGATTTTTATAAAAATCAGATGGAGGCATTACCTGATGGTCAGCTCAGACAATTCTTCAATGTTGATGACTAGCAAGACCTGCAATATGAGTTTGAGCTTGAAATGAAATGTTGTCCAACACAAACACAGCTCCAATCACACTTACATATGTTACTTAGAAATTAGGAAATCTATGTTGAAGTAGATGTTCTAGTTCGTATTGTGAATTCAAAGTTTCAAACCAATTGTCTTATCTTATGAAACTATTTATCTGTGGTTGTATTGTTAAATTAAATCAAATAGTGGTTATCTGTTGAATGAGTAATTCGCCTTACTAGTTAATCTCATCAATTTTCAAATAAATTTAATTTGATTTAATTTTATTAGTCAAGTATATAGTATGTTAGCTGAAAGAAAGATAAGCAAAGTCATATTCATTAATCACCAAATGCAACATCAGCAGAAGTCTACATAATACATAATCAAAACATATCATAAACTAACGTCTCCTACGTCCTCTATGGGGTAAAGCATCACTGCCTGGTGTGTAATGTTGAGGTGGACGTACAGGCTTGTCACGTAACACATGCTGCTCGACTCCAAAGACGCCCTCCTGCTCTGCCTCAACTGTGCCTGCTAACGTACTGTCTGGAACATGCTCATGTAGGTACCAGCCTGGTGTAGTCTGCTGAGTCGGCTGAGTAAAGAAAGGCTGAGAAGGTCCCAAATCTTGATACGATGATGGTCTTGCATCAGTAGATTGAGGCTCACCTATTACTGGACTGAAGGCCTCGTATGGATACCCTGCATATCCATGCTCAGAGTATAGGTAATCAGGGATATTAAGCTCTCTACGCAAATCCACTGTCATCTTAGCAATTCTCTTAATAACACTATCGGCATTGCTGTAGTCATGTGAACCAACCATAGGTAACACTGCCCTCTCTGTCTCCAGGAAGAAATTACGCTGAGTGAAGGGAAATTAAATAAAATGTCAATGAGTAATGTTCCCCTATACTTACCCAAAAGAAAAGTTCCATCCAAGCTAAGGACAGGCCGGCAAAACCTCCAACCACTAATAGATGGACCGAAAGCCCAAAATAACCTTTGAAATCTATACGAACTTGAAGATTGGATTTTGTACACAGTTCCAGGCATGGCTTGAACAATACCTTCCATGAACAAATTCAGTGATCGGTAAGACTCTTCCCAACTGCCAAAGACTGTTTTAATAGCCTTCCGACGCGCATCCCATGCTTTCATATATGAAACTTTAATATTAAACTTTGCCTCAACTCTTCCAATAATTTCTCTAGGTTTTATATCCATATGTTTTCTTATAGTTGGAATAATAAAGAAGATAATGAACTGTGAATTACATTTCCTGTGACCTGCTTGAAAAATAGGGTTCGTACACGTATGTGGACCCTTTATGGTAGCTATTTTCCATATCCCACCCAATTGCTTGCTTAAGCTTGCATGCAAATGCCAAGGGCACTTTATCGGCACAGTATCGTGTTGTACGCAAGCAACTGTAAATTTTTATTTGTTCGACGCCACAACGACAAATTGAACATCATTCATGATTGACCAACCGTGCAAGACAAGTTGCAGTTCTAATTTTCTGCGGAAACACATATTTTCTACCAATTCATTCGGAATGATAAATTTATCATTTCTGATGCTAAAAACATTACTACTATCAGGTGCAACCTCCGCATTCCATTGACGTGTAGTCTTAGGAATCTCAGCATATTCATTATTAGATGTCATGCCCTCTTCTGTATTTGCAGTCCTTGTATAGTAGTCACGAATAATATCATTGGTATTTGGCTGAACACCTATATTAGTTGCATTAGAATCATGGAGGATATCATTAAACTCTTCATCCTCATCATCACTTGAACCACTGCTCATTGTCTCATACCCTTCATCATTGATAGTAGGAGTTGATAATCTAATATCATTGGCTTCAAAAATAGAGGTACCCTGGGATTGTGTTGAAGGACCGGCCAAATTCTATGGGTACGGAGTTTCTGTGGATCTGTATTTATACTTATATAATATTAGATAACGATGAATACGATTTTACTTTACAAAAATAAAAATATCATTTAAAACTAACATACCCAACATGTGTAATTGGGATTGGCAAGGCCATCTCCGTGGCATCATGCATCTCATGTGCATGATCTTGTACGACTGAATCACGAATTTGAGTCGATAGGTCTTCCTCCAAATTAATATCATTATGAATTTCCTCAACCTCCACATATAGTATCAAAACTTCAGACGCAGTTAAGGATAATGCAAATTCACAACTTTCATCATCCTTAAGCTTCGAGGCCATGAATTGGTTGCTCACTGGAAAACGACCCACAATGGTCACTGCGAACTTTAAGGGATCGAACTTTAGAGCCCTGAGAACTCGATCCTTCAATTGCTTCAAATTCGAGTTGAATGGAACTTGTAGGGGCCGACACTTACCAGCAATATATGTTGGGGAAAAATTCGCATCTAATGATAACTCTCCGTCATATAACAACATAAAAGATGGTGGTCTTGCACTCATTTTAAAAACCTACATTTAAATTTGAAAGAATATATTTATTTTAAACCCTAAACGTGATCTTCGCAACATTTCATAAGATGTTCCAATAGAAGCTTACAACAATCATAAAATGTTATATATATATTTTTAAAAAATAATATTAATCATTAAAAAAAATGATATCTATTGAAAGAAATATTTATTATTAATTATTCCTTAAAGTTTTTTTTTTCTTAAAGGTATGTATAATATAAGGATAATTTTTTTAATTAATTAACAATTACAAGCATGATCACAAACACAAAAGTAACCAACAAATTTGGCCAAATCGGGTAGATCTGAATTGCACTAGCAACAAGTATATGAATCTATTACTTCCTAAACTACTTCTTAAGTGAAAGTTTCAAAATCATAGCTCATCATCTAAAATCACCTCATTCTACACTTTTACACTGTGCATTTTTTTTTCCTTAATCTACCTTCTATTAATGAAAGGAATAAATAAATATAAACTTAAAACAAAAAAATGCATAAAAAGTTACCCAAAATGGCGAAATCCGGTGGTGAACGGTCAGCTTGCGGCAAGATCGGCGAGGGCAAACGAAAAGGCATCGGGGAGAAGGGCTTCGGCCTTTCATTTTAAAAAGGGCAATGTCGCCCGTCTAACGGGCGACTTAAGTTAATTATAAATCGCCGATTGAACGGGCGATTATGCCTACTTTTAAATATTAAAAAAACAATGCTTAATCCCGTAATTAAGGCTCTAATCATGCTTAGTCCGAAAAATTTCCCTTTTCTGTATATATTATTTCATGAGGCTGCTTTTAGAAAACTGAAACTCCTGATCGTTATAATTTTGTAGTGCGGTAAAGAGGTTGGGGACTTGTTTTTAAATTTGTCTCGAGCGTGGGAGCAGGCCGACACAATGACATCAAACAGCATAGCAAGCAAACTTCCGTCTTTGCATGGCTATTTAACTAGTGATGTCAAACCAGGCAAGGATCATGAAAGCTATTGCTAGTGTTTGTACACTCTACTTCTATTGTCTTTGCTTTTTTTTTTTTTTTACTTAATGTAATATTTTGTTTCTTTGCAGCGATTGGGAAGCGATTGCTATCCGTAGGTAGAAGATTTGAGGCTATGGGACAGTATGAACAAGGAGAGCTTCAAAGGGTATGGCTTGGACTTAACATTTTTCTACTTCTGAAAATGTTATTCTGATCTGCTGAGATTTTTTGTCTTTTATTCACATGGCTTATAATTTGTCAAGAGGTTGGATCTTGGGAAGGCATGAGATATTGAAAGTACCTTTCATTTTTTTTGTTTTTCTTCAAATTAAGTAGCAATTTCGCTTGATGTTATTTAGATTCAAGTGTTGTTAAGGATGTTAGCATGATTAAGATATTGATGTTATTAGACCTTTTCTTTCTTCAAATAATTTATATTTGTTTTATTATCATGATATTTAAAGATGTCCATGTTTTCTAGATTATAATTGTTTAATTTATGCTATATACATAGTATACCATGAGGCTTTAGAAGATGTCGCTCAATTTCAATTGGCATCTAAATGTCGCTGGCCTAGGACATAAATGTACTTAAATGAGTATTATTTAAAGACCTCAGGTAACAAAAGATTGATATCTTCATATAGCATTACATCACATAGTTTATTAATCAAATCTCTTAGCAATTATTCTCCTGAGTCTGATGTCACATGTATTGCGTATTTTGTATTTAAATGGCTTTTTATGAGAGTAAATCATAGTTATTGAAATTTCATAATTATGATAGTATTGACCATTGTAAGCCTATTAGTTCACTTATTAGGACGATTAGGAGTATATAGGATTGTTGATCCCATGAGCTCATGATGGAAATGAGCTTATTTTGATAGCAAACATATAATTGGATGTCCTAATATTTCGATTAAGTGATTATAAGATTGATAGAATTAAATGATCAATATGGTGAAATTGTTAAAATTAGGGGTATGGTCCAATGACTATACAGAGTTAAGAAGACATGAAGGAAGGCTCACGATTAAAGTTGAAATATTACATTGAGTTATTGCCTTATAATTTTTATTCTAATTTTATTTTTTAGAATTATAAATGCAAAATGTCTAACTTTATGGCTATGTAAGTTGCTTGCTCTTAGGAGATAATCTAAAGCCAATTTAAAACCCTTTAATTGTCACCTTGACATGAGCTTGTATTTTTATAACTATAAAATCATTTAGATTAATAATACAAAAAATGCACACTTAGCTAATAGCTTACATGATGCAGCTCTCAAACTATTAATATAACAAGGCAATGATAGTGGAAATAGTATGTTTTTTTTTTTAGAAATAACATGTTTTATATGTGCTATTGATGCAATATAGGGCTTAACACCCCTCTTCGTGCGCACTATTTATTTCCTTTGTTTTAGGGTTTAAATAAATCCTATTATATTTAATTTTATTTTTATATGCTATTTTTTATTATTTCTAGCTAACGTTTCATTTAAAGCCCTTTAAAATTTTAATTAAATTTGTCTCACGCATTATTATCCTTCCCAAAACCATTATCTTATGCACACAATAGAGATTTTATCAAGTGGGTGAGCATAGGATCTCATTTTTAAAAGAAGCATCCACCTCACTTCCCCTTATTAGATTCTTTTTTCTTTCCGCTAAAATTTATTATTTTTTAATCTCATTTTCAAGAGGGTAGAAGTATGGTAGCATGTTGTTTAACTCATTGGTTTTTTGACCTAGTCTAACCCTATTTGAAAGGTTATATGGTCAAAATATTTTATTCGTTGTGATCAAGAAGAGGCATCCATCTTATTTAAGATTTTTTTAGTTGCGTTTTGCTTTTCAAGATTTTTTTTCTTTTAATTGTCATAAATTTCTTTTGATCATCATCGAGGCATGGCCTAAGCACCATATCAATACACCTTAAAAAATTTAACTCTCCCAGAGAAGTATTCTTGAAGAAGTGGAGAGAATGTATGCAAGAATGCAAGTTTCAAGACATCATATCTAAGAAGAAAAAAAGTGAAAATTTTAAGCATGACTTGGCTGATAAATTCAATGTTTTCTCCCTCCTTCACAAAAGGTGGTACCTACTCTTTTTTGAAATGACATTCTCAAATTTGATAATTTCAGCCAAGCGGGATTCCTTTTTCTCCTCCTTAATTGGTGGCGTCCATTAAGCATAAAATAGTTTGAAAATTCAAATGGAGGAAGTTATGGCTTGAATCCAGAGTATTCACAAATGATGTAATTTAAAATTTCAAATTTCATATAAACAAAATCTCTCTATTGAATCAAAGCTTAAATTTATTAGACACAAATTATTGCAACAATCTCTATTTTGAAGCAAGCCTTAAATTAAAGAAGAGATATACAAATTATTGAAAGCAATTTCATATTTCAAATTAAATATCAATCTCTCCCTTGAATCAAGACTTAAATTAAGTAGGAGTTATGTGATTGATGTATTATTGGAGATAATTTTAAATTCAAAGATGACATTGCAGACCCCATGAAGGAATTTATTGAATTATTTTATTATTGTAGTTATTGTTTAATGATTATAAATATGTGGTAACATTGAATAGAAAATAAAATATAAACTTTCTAAAGCATTTGAGCGAGCTCTATGACATTGAGGACTTGGGTGCTATGGCGCTAGACCAAAGAAATTATTCTTTTAATAAAATATCTGAAGCATTCATTTAGACCCTAACCAACATTTTCCCACTCCCCATTCCCTTGTATTGTCGAGTGAGAGGAGCGGAGAAGAGTAGAGATGAGAAAGGAAAGAGAAAATAGAGATTTAGCTGGTATTTTTTGTCCTTCTAGCTATGAAAATTATTCTGATTATGGTAGGTAACTTGTGTGAAGTGAGAAATCTTTGAAGTTGAATTGACTGCTAATTCATAGTTCGAACTCAAATATTTATCTTGTAACCATCTGGCGTAGTATTCCCACTTTTACTGCTAGGCCAATATATTAAAAGTCTGGAAGGTGGAACTGCGGAGAGAAGCTGATGATGCGGCATTTTGGGTGAGTTAATGGTGTGAGGAAATTTGTGTACACACATTAAGCTGCACTCCGAGGAATGTAAAATTAACATGGAAGGCCTTTGTTAAATTTGAGGTGGAAATTGAAACTAATTTTGCCATGTGATATGAATACTTCTAAGAATTATCATCTTCCGTGCACGAGAAGTTCTGCCACTTGTGAAGTATGTACTTCCATATATTATTTTTGCTATGTGCACAAATTTAGATTCATGTCCAGCCTAGGTGGGGGCTGTCCAGATCCATAAAGTTGTATTTATTTTATCTGATTATTAGGTTTATGTTAGGCCGGTTCACCCTGAACTGGCCCATATGATCCTCAGATTTATTGCAGGAGGCGGAAATCGTCTGCCTCCCTTGGCTTTGCCCGCCCATAGTGTGGGCCCCACTTGTCCAATTGAATTCAAATTGAGGGGGGGCGCTAGGGCTTGGGAGAGAAATTAGATTAGGAGCATTTGTATTAAAGAGCATGAGAGGATTACAAAGGGATTATGTTTTGATTGATTGGAATTAGAGTTTCTTGGTGACTTGGGCTCTAAGCTTCTTGTCTAGAGATTGGGGGGCGCTAGGGCTTGCGAGAGAAATTAGATTAGGAAAGCTTTTGTATTAAAGAGCATGAGAGGATTAGGAAGGGATTATGTTTTGATTGATTGGAATTAGGGTTTTTTGGTGACTTGGGCTCTTGTCTAGAGATTGGGAGAGAACGATCCTCCTCTCGAATTGAGTATCAATTGTATATTTTCTTTGTTCTTGTTTCGCTTTGCTTTCTATAATATTATCTATCGTTTGATTGTCCTTTCACCATCTTTTCTTCTTTTTTTTCTCGCTAGGGCTTGGGAGAGAAATTAGATTAGGAAAGCTTTTGTATTAAAGAGCATGAGAGGATTAGGAAGGGATATGTTTTGATTGATTGGAATTAAGGTTTCTTGGTGACTTGGGCAATAGGCATCTTGTCTAGAGATTGGGAGAGAATGACCATCCTCTCGAATTGAGGATCAATTGTATCTTTTCTTCGTTCTTGTTTAGCTTTGCTTTTTATAAGATTATCTATCATTTGATTGTCCTTCCACCATATTTTTTTTCGTTTTTTCTCATTGTTTTATCGATTATTGTTAGGTTTGCTTGCGAACTCAAGTATTTCCCATTAGGATTACTTGTGAACTCAAGTATTTCCTATCAAATTGGTATCAGAGCAAGTCTTGAACCGGTGGAGGGCTATTTTCAGCAAATTCTAGCAGCTGTTTTTGATCCGAAAAAGAGGGAAGTTGGGAAAAGCACGAATTCTGATTTTGTGAATCTACAAACTCCGGATAGTGATGGAGGCCAAGAAGGTGGATGCTTTGAAAGAAAGGCTTGAAGGGGAGATGAATCAAATCAAGACAACAGTGGAGGAAATGATTTTCTTTATGTAAGGACAAATAGCCGATCTCCGGGATATGATGAAGAAAATGTTGGAAATGCACAACCAAATGGCAGCTTTCGTGGCAAAAGGTGTGGAAGGGAAAAGCACGAATTCTAAAATCTGCAAGGAGGAAGATGAGGTAGAAATCATGGAAGGATAAAGAAGAAGACTCCATCTGGAGCCTGCCCGCCCAAAGGGAAGAAAGAGGAGGTGGATATGGGGAACGCCATGAGGGATACCATCGTCACAAAGGTGTTGATTTCGAAGAAAGAAGGGGAAATTCGAAGGGGATTTAGGCTATGGCAGGGTAATGGAAGACCGATAGGTGTGGGGAGGGCCTAGCACTTGGGAGAGAGGAAGCTATGGAAGAATAAGGGAGAATGGTGGCAATAAGAAGGCTAGGAAGCTGAATATACCCATATTTGAAAGCGAGGATGCGTATGTGTGGGCTCCGAAAATTCAGCCCCAGACTGACCGCATTATTGTTTTTTTTTTTCTGGGGAGTTTTAATGAATAAGTTATAAGGTAAATTTTGGAAGGGAGATGAGTTTGTAGATAAGACACTACCCAGAGATTTCACCCTCATTTTGTGAGGATTTTATGATATTAGTTCTAGTTTCCTATGAGCGCAAGCCCCTATGGTTAATTACCCCTCCCGATAATGAGAGAAAACTTTCGATTAAGGCTAGTCGTC